CACTTGTTCGAAGGACACCATTCCTTTCAATAATATCTTAGCATAAACTAAATATATTATTGTCTTAAATGATATCTACGGAAAATATATCACACATCTATTTTCCGATATCTCATAATGTAACAGATCACGTCACAAGCCATCAGACTTTGTAAAATCACGTTACAGTGAGTTGATTGACATTTATTCTTTCGGAATGTGCGTGTTAGAGATGGTGTGGGCAAATAAATGCAGTACAAGTACGACAATGGAATTACCGAAACAAGTGAAATTAGGCGGCCTTGATTTTGTTGAGCTATGCAAAATGGCACACGATGATGTTGAAGTTTCCCGATTTACTAGCAGGTGTATAAATCTAAGACCCTCGGCGAATGAGCTCTTGAATGACCCATTTATTGCACTGGAACCGCCGAGTGATCCTGATTCGAGTACGCCAAGAGCAAGATTACATAGGGTGTTACAAATGGTATGTCCCTGCTTATCATGAATTGAAAGTCCTCACCAAATGTCCCATCGTGTGAAATTTGCTACTCTATTATCGATCAAACTGTTGTTAGTTCGTTCTTGTAGATTAATACTTTGCTTATGCTAGAAAAATAAAATATATGTGTAGGACACCGAAATTTTGTTAATTATTAGGTGTCAGATATATGTAGATAAAAAGATAAAAATATTATAAGATATTATCTTCAAGATCTCATAGAAAATTTGATAGATATCTTGTTTACTACTCTATGACACTCTATATAAAAAGGGTGTTTATAGGGTTTAATGAGGCTCGGATGAAACAAGTCACAAAGACTCATCTCCTCCCACTACCAAATATTGTAGGTCCATAGTATGAAATAAGCCGACAATGCCCCGTACTATAAAATAATATCTATATCCGTGATTTTATTACAGGTTTCAATTTTTATGGTTTACAGTATGATAACTCAGTTTTTAGATTAATGCTAAGGTTGTAATCATTCATTTGTAATGGGAGGGGGTTGATTCTTTTGTTTATTAATTGATTTTCATCACTAGAACAGAACATCAGCAAACACAAGCACCCTCTCCACCAAGACTGGAAACACCACCACCCTCTCCACCACCACCACCACCTCCACCACCATCTCCACCATGACAGGAAACACCACCATCTCCACCAAGACATGCACCAACACCACCACCATCACCATCACCACCACCTCCACCTCCACCAACCAATACACATGCAAGCTCATCTTCTCAACCAAAGAAAAAGCACAGAGTTAGGCCTTCCAACTGGAGAGTGCCAAAGAGCAAGTCTTCTGTACAAGGGAGAGGTAAGGGAGTTGAGAGAGTGAGAAGGGAGAATGAAAGCAGAGATGTGCAGGTAAGTGAGTTAAAGAATGATGATAGTGAGGATGATGATTATGTACTTTCTTATGTTGATGAAGATGATGAGAATGTGAGTGACCTAGACTTCATTGAAGATGAGGATGATAATGTTTTAGATGATGTTGAAAAGTTTAGAGAGAAAAAGTTTGAAGATTATTTAGATGGGAGTCACAAGTTGGATAAGTTTTATAAAAATGAGAAAATTTGGGCATGAGTAGAGTTTGGTTCTAAGTTTTAGAGCCATGGTTGATTTTTGAGAACAAGGCTCAATTTCTAAAATTATTTAGGGATTTCTGCATTCAAGAAGGGTTTGTAGTGACTGTGGACAGAGCTGAAAGCTGGAGATACACAGAAAGGTGTGTGGTTGAGACTTGCAACTGGAGGATACATGCTACTGTTTTGGTTGACAATGTTAGTTGGGCCATTAAAACTCTAACTGGGGAGCACAATACATGTGGCAGATTGGAAGAAAATCCCATGGTTTCAACTGACTGGTTATTTAGACATCTATTGCAAGATCTAGAGGCAAATCCTGAGATCCCTGTAAAGTCACTACAAAAGATTTGCATGGAAAGATTTAGGTTGAATGTGAAGAAAAGGTTGTTCTACAAGGTCAAGGCAGTTGCTAGGGTTCAAATTCATGGTGGGTTTGCTGAGAGTTATGCCTTACTGCCTAGATATGCTGAGATGATTAAGGCCACAAACCCAGGCTCTTATGCACTCATAACATGGACAGCAAACACTTGCAACCAAGCACCTCAGTTCAAAGCTTGCTTTTTTTCCTTTGCTGCATCTGTCAAAGGATTTCTTGGTGGGTGTAGGACCATAATTGGGATAAACGGAGCACATTTGAGTGGTTACTACAAAGGGATTATGTTGACTGCAATTAGTATTGATGCCAACAATGAAATATTTGTGATTGCATATGGGATAGTTGACACTGAAAGCATTGAGAGTTAGACATATTTCTTCAGAAATCTGAGATGCCTGTTTGCAACTGAAGGTTGTCGTAAAGATGACTGGACCTTTATTTTTTGACAGACTGAGGGTAAGCTTACATAATATTTGTTTCTATTCATTTTGATCATACATACATTTTCAGCATACAGTTCCTAAATTTGTGTATCTTTGTCTTTGTTGCTTAATTAGGGAGTTGATGCTGCAATACAAGATGTGTACCCAAAGGCAACAATGAGGATTTGTTGCCAACATCTATACTCTAACTGTAAAACAACAGGGTGGAGTGGTTTAGCTTTTCACAAGCTTTTTTGGATAGCTGCAGATGCATACAATGAGTATGTGTTTGAGAAAGCAATGACAAAAATCAAGGAGCATGCTGCTGCAGCTGAGGTGTACTTAAGGGAAGTACCAAAGCAATGGTCAAGTAAGATGTTTGACACCAAATTCTGTTGTGATCACAACACAAAAAACTTTGTCGAGTCTTTCAATTCCAAGACAAAGGATTTCAGAGACTTGCATGTGCTAACACTACTTGAAGGTACATCTAATATAGCCTTGTTTGTTTTTATGCATTGTTGTTATTATATGACACTAATTATTTGTTGTATGATGAAGCTGTAAGAAATTGGGTGATGAAGAGAGTGGGAGCAAGATTTGACAAGGCTATAGACATGGAACCTCATTAACTCACAGAGCATGCACAAAACATACTCTAAAGTAGAAGTGATGACTCTTTATTTTGTCATGTTACTACTTGTGGGGGGAGGGAGTTTGAGGTCAGAGATAGGCATGTGAAATTCCCCATAAATCGGGATTTGATGACTTGTGGGTGTGGCAAATGGCAAGGTTCTGGCATTCCCTGTAAGCATTGCTTAAGGGTGATATACCACCAAAGATTGGAACCCACCACATTTGTTTCACCATACTTCAAAGGGGCTGCTTACAAAGCAACTTATGCCCAGCACATCCACCTTATGGCTGACCCCACACAGTGGCCAAATTTTGATGTTCCTACAATCTTGCCCCCACCAGTCAAGAGAAGTGCTGGCAAACTAGCAAAACAGAGAAAAAGGGCCCCACATGAAGCAAGGAAAGGCAAAAGGCACAAGAACAACAAATGTGGAATCTGTAAGGAGTTGGTCACAATGCTTTAACTTGCAAGAACAAGAGCACAACTGGAAGTGGTGCTGCTGGACAAGGAAAAGGAAAGGGGGAAAAAGGAAGGCACAAAATGATGGTGGAAGCACCTCTCACCAACCTCCATCAAAGCAAAGGAAAACAAGAAGCACTCAAGATGCTTAGTTCACATCTGCCATAACTTTTTGTCAGTCCACCACTGCCATATTTTTTTGTTAAGAAATTGAAACCAAGTTCCTATATTTTATGTCAGTAGGTGGATGAATGTGGTTTTTTTTGGACAAAAACATTATCATATGTAATTAATGCACTTTTTATTTTGCACATTGTTGTAAACATTTTATTAAGTCACTTAAATGTTACAAATACAATGATTGCAAACATTAGAACCCCTATTTTGACTACTACATTAACTAATCTTTGCTGCTGCTGCATCTTTTTCTTGAGCACCTTCATCTCTTGCTTCAGTTTGCTTCAGTTGTCACATGCATTGCAGTTGTAGTATAACCTTTGGGGATTTTTTGTTGTTTCCGAACTTCGAATTGCAAATTTTTTCCCCCAACAACATGTTTTATTAAGAACTCTAATATAAGAAGATTCATAAGAGGAAGAACAGGTTTGTGAAATCATGCTTGAATTGGATATGAAATACCAAGTATGAGAGGATTCAATATATAAGCTAAAGGAACTAGCCATGTTTTAAAGGCCAACGGCTAGTTTTTTTTCAAAATTTTCCATCAAAACTTTCGGGTTAAATGGTGAAAAAAGGTTCTTTAAGTTTGGGTATATGGTGAAAAAAATTCTTATAGTATGGTTATATGGTGAAAAACAAAAACTACTAACGGAGAGTTAACGTCAGTTAGGTAAAAGAACATTTAATGCTAACGTACGGTAACTGATGGATATTTGGTGAATTTGAAAACTTTCATGGGTATTTGGTGAATAAAAAAATTACTCAGGGGCATTTCATGAAATTTCCGTTGAATAAATAATGAAAATTGTTGAGTTAGTTAATTGTTTGAATTATGCAACATAATTTATTTTTCCTCCTTCAATTAATTTTGTTTTCATTTCTCTTATCACTGATAGATTTCATGACTATTGTACTATAATTTAATTGAAGCATAAAGTCTTAAAAGATGTCAAATTAAATAAGATGTTTGAGTCCGATTATGTTACGAAGTTAGGACCTATTCTTGATTTAATTTTTTTCAAGAGTACAAATTATGTTTTGATTCAAATTAACACAACAAGAGCATATATTTTTTTGGGCTAGATGTTTCTTATTTAGTTGTATTATACGTATTTGTTTGATGAGAAATTTAGATAGAGTCAATATTGGTCCAATATTGATTGAATATATATATATATATATAGGGGAAGGCTCTCGTGAGAATTTTTCTTATGTGAGAATTTTCTTATATGAGAACACTCTTTATGTTCTAAATTTTTACTCGTATGTTCTCAATTTTAAATCTGATGTTCTAAACTTTTCCTTAGGTGTTCTTTTTTTTTTGACAAAACCTGCTCATAGCGTTTTATTACTCACTCAAAAAGTGTAAATCATCAACAACAGCAGAAAACACATCACTAGGTACCTCCTCCATCCATACTCTAAGATCATGAAAGGAGAGGCTTAGCTTAGCAAGTTTATGGGCAACACAATTGCCACTTCTTTTAACAAAAGAGAAAGAGCATGAGACCCACCTACGAGCAAGATGAAGAATGTCGTTAACAACCAAACCAAAAGCAGTATGAGGAGCATATCCCTTCGACAGATGCGAGTACAACCTGATACAATCAGTCTCCAAGCATACCTTTCTAAAGCCTGACTCCATAGAGGTAGACAAGGCGTGTCTCATAGCCAAAGCCTCGGCAACATCAGCCTCAAAATTACCTAACACTCGAAGGCAAGTAGACACCACCACGTCACCCACCGAATCCCTTGCAACACCACCCAAGACTACATAATTAGTCCCGGGAACCGCGACATCAAAGTTCACTTTAATCGGCCCGTGCACAAAGGGTTTCCACCTCGTTTCCAGAATAGGTGAGGGGTGCAACGTGCTTGCTCCTTCTTGAGCCATGGCATACTCCCCCACCATGCCAACAACCTTGTGAATAACCTACCCCACATCTCTCTTCTTACCTTCAAAAGCCCACCCATTTCTTCGAAGCCAAATGCTTCATAAAACACTCCAGAATAAATCCCACCAAAGAGCATCCTTACGGTGATGTCTAACCGAGCAACACCATTCCCCGAAAGACTCTCCTTCATAATTATCAACATCCAAACGTAGTGGTGAAAGATACCACATACGCTTATCGTCAGCACACTTGACAAACATATGCAGCTCACTCTCAATTTCAAGACCACACATTGGACATATAGAGTCAACATTCATACCTCGTTTCACCATGTTATAGCGAGAGGCCACAACCCCTTTAATAGCACGCCAGGCAAAATTTTTTATCTTCGAAGGTACCCCTGCATTGCAGACAGTGTGCCACTCAAAATTACTCCCCACATTCGAGGTAGATGATGCTACATTTTGTTGGTCCATGGTGATCAGATGGTACACACTTTTAACAGAGAAAATCCCATCCTTTGTGTAGTGCCAAACCCACGAGTCATTTCGGTTGGAGAGGGAAATAGGGAGTTTACAAATTTCACTCACTTCCATAGAAGTAAACAACACATTAAGAGCTTTAATATCCCAAGAATTATCAACCCAAAGCTCTCGGACATAAGTAGGAGTACCTTCATCCAATCCACGGCTCGACATCACCTTGAAACTTGGGAGGTTTGGAACCCAAGGATCATCCCAAATGTGAATGGTCGAACTAGTTCCAACAGCCTTCCGAAGACCCTTAACGAGCACTTCACGAGCACCAAGAATTGATCTCCAAGTATAACTTGCGTTCGAACTCACCTTTGCCTCCAATAGTGACGTATGAGGGAAATATTTTCCCTTAAGAACTTTTTCCACTAAAGAATCCCCTTTAGTAAGGATTCTCCAAGCCTTCTTAGCAAGAAGAGCATTAATAAAATTCCTCATATTTCTGAACCCAAGCCCCCCTTCCTTTTTTGAGATTTGCAACTTCTCCCAAGCAATCCAACATAGCTTCCTCTCTTCCCGTTTCTGACCCCAAAAAAATTGTCGGCATAATTTTTCAATAACAGTAATAATGCTAGTGGGAATAGCAAAACACTGCATAGCATAAGTCGGGATAGCTTAAGCAATTGATTTCATCAACACCTCCTTTCCCGCTTGTGACAAAAAATTCTCTTTCTACCCCTTAAGTTTCTTCCAAACCCCCTAAATAATCTGGAAAACTTGTTTCTTAGACCCACTAATGTAAGTTGGTAGTCCTAGATATTTATCATGTCCTTCGACAGCCTTAAAACTTAACTTCATCTGAAGCATATTCTTTCGTTCTTGCTCAATGTTTCGGCTAAAAGACACCTCTGATTTATCCATATTCAATTTCTGGCCCGAAGCCACTTCGTACATAGAAAGGATGCCGAGCACAGCATCCACCTTTTCCTCCGTTGCTCTCACAAAAAGAATACTATAATCCGCAAAAAATAAATGAGAAATCGGATTGACATTTCTCCCAATTTTGACCCCATGGATGACGTTCCTACTCTCAGCATCACGAATCAACGTCGACAAACCTTCCGCACACATAATGAACAGGAAAGGTGAAAGAGGATCACCTTGCCTAATCCCCCGGGTAGGCTTAAAATTCCTCAAAGGTTGCCCATTGACCAGAACATCGAACTCTGCAGAGCTTACACATTTCATGATCAAACTCACGAAACATTCCGGAAGGCCCAACTTTTTCATCATTTTTTCTAGAAAATCCCATTCCACTCTGTCGTAAGCTTTGCTTATGTCAAGCTTAAGACTTAGAAAGCCTTTTCTCCCTGTTTTCTTCTTCCGGAGATAGTGGAAAGACTCATAAGCACCAAAACATTATCAGAAATCAATCTTCCGGGAACAAAACCACTCTCCGAGTCATGAATAATGTAGGGAAGGACTAACTTCAATCTATTCGCTAGAACTTTGGTGATAATTTTATACAACACATTGCACAAACTAATAGGCTATAATCAACAGGAGACTCACACTCCTTATTTTTCGGGATCAAAACAATATGAGCCTGATTAATAGAACCTATATCACCATTATTATTCAAAATATCAAGTACTTTATCAGTCACATCCGCTCCCACAATATCCCAATAATTCTGGAAAAAAATAGTAGACATACCATCGGGGCCAGGGGCCTTCGTTGGATGCATTTGAAACAACACATTCTTCACTTCCTCGACGCAAAAGGGAGCCGCCAGACTACTATGATGTCTCTCGCTAACCATTGGCTCCACCTTCTCAATGATTGAATCTGGCTCAATCTCACTATTTCCAGCAAAAAGGGTCTCAAAATAATTCACCAGAACTTCAGTGATCTGAACTTCATCCACAAATTCGTTCCCAGCAGCATTATGAATTTTTTTAATATTGTACTGTTTCGGCTAGCTCTCTGCTTCGTCTTTGTGTGAAAAAGTGGTATTTTTGTCCCCATGTTTGAGCCAATCTTGCCTACTACGTTGCTTCCAATACATCTCCTTCCTCCTTTCTAACTTATCCATACGATCATCAATGGCACTCATTTGATCGATCACCTGCTCCGTTTGGCACTCTCCCATAAGTTTCTCCATTTGCCCCTTACAATCTTGCAACTCTTTCATAAAGTCTCCAAATTTTTCCTTACTCCAAGAGCTCAATTTCGACGATGTGAAAGCAATTTTTGAGCATAAATCCCCTCCTCTCTCCCACGCCTCAGAGATGATAGTACTACAATTCTCATCCCGCAACCACATTTCCTTGAATCTATATAATTTCTTCTTTTTCCTCTTCTTCGGGGTGTTTAAAGCTTCTTTGATGCACAATAAAATCGGTAGATGATCCGATTTTCTTTTTGTAAGGTGGGTAACAAAAGAGCCCGGGAAACACTCTCTCCACTCACGATTTGCTAAGAACATGTCCAGACGTTCTTGGATGTTTTCCTTGCCTCCTCTATTGTTCGACCACGTGAAACCATGCCCAATGTATCCCAAGTCCTCAAGGTGACAATGATCAATAGCCTCCCGAAAGATGTCAGCCTCCTCATTAAAAAAGGCACGCCCACCTTGTTTTTCATTTGACTGCATCAAGAGGTTAAAATCACCTCCTAGCAGCCACGAGTTTCCCTGCCCATTCCACAAATTCTTGAGGAGAAAACCTGTTTTGAACTTGTTTTCTTCCTCCGGAAAACCATAAATACCCGAGAAACGCCACTTTCCATGTTGCATAGTACTCACTTCGACATCAATATGGTTTTGGGAATAAGAGTTCACAACAACATCAAGGGAATTCTTCCACATCAAAGCTAATCCCCCTTTTCTTTTCTTACTTTCCCCTTCACATTCTACTACCAAGGCACTATCAAATTTTATTTTTTGTTTTATTTTCTCGAACTTGAAAGCTTTCAACCGTGTTTCGGAAAGGAACACTAATTGGGGTCACTCAAGAAACACAATGCGTTTCAAAGCATTAACTGTAGGATTGCTACCCCCCCCCCCCCAAACCCCTACAGTTCCACAATAAGATGTAGCTCATTAATCACTGAGAGCCCAACTCGTGGGGCTCGCCACTTTCTCGTTCGAGTTCACAGCAATTCTCCTCTTGTTACTTTCTCCACCATCAACATTCATGTTATTGCCATCAGCCTTGTCAAAATCCGAGGCTTTCCTCTTTTCACCAACTATGTTCTAAATTAAATCAAATGTTCTAATTTAGTATTCACATGTTCTAAACCATAAATTAGTTAAGTTTGATGTCATAAATTTTAAATAACTTGTTCCAAAATTTTAATTTATATGTTCTAAATTTTAAAACTTGTGTTCTAAGATTTTTATTATATGTTCCAAATTTTAAAGCGTGTGTTCTATTTTTTTACACGTATGTTCTAAATTCACTCACACTTTTTGTATTCTATATCAGTTTGTTCTAAATTTTTATTCACATAATCATAATCTTAAATCAGATGTTCTAAATTTTACTCATATGTTTAAAATTTCATAAAGCAAATTTTATAAATTTTTAATCACTTGTTCTAATTCTTAAATCAGATGTTCTAAACACAAATGTTCTAAATTATTACTCATATGTTCAGAATTTTAGTTTGAGTCACATGTTCTAAACTTTAACTCGCATGTTCTAAATTTTTACTCACATGTTCTAAATTTTTACTCGTATGTTGTAAATTTTAAATGAGTTCTCATATTAGTATGAATTCTCACATATGAACCCATTCTCACCGAATCCCTCCCCTATATATATATATATATATATATATATATATATATATATATATATATATATATATATATATATATATATATATATATATATATATATATATATATATATATATATATATATATATATATACAAATATATATATATACAAATATATATATATATATATTCTAAATTTTTTTCCTATGTTCTAAATTATTTTTTTCAGTTTATGTTCTACAGTTTTTTCTATATTCTAAATTTTTTCTAATAATGTTCCAAATTATTTTCAATGTTCTAAATTGTTGTTTAGATTATGTTCTAATTTTTTTTTTCAGCTTTTGTAATAAATTTTTTCCTATGTTCTAAATTATTTTTTCAAATTATGTTATTAATTTTTACCTATGCTATAACTATTTTTTCAACTTATGTTCTAAATTATTTTTCTTATGTTCAAATTTTTTTGGTTACTTACGTTCTAAATTTTTTCTTTCTTCTAAATTTTTTTTTTTATGTTCTAAAATTTTCTGCTTGTGTTTAAAAAAGTTTCTGCTTATGTTCTAAATTTTTTTTCTATGTTGTAATTATTTTTAGGTTCAAAATACGGAATTCTCATATTAACATAAATGTCATTACTAAAAGATCATTTTAGATGGTTTGATCAAAACTAATAAAGGGTTGAGATTGATTCTTATATAAGATTGGGTTCTTATATAAAGGAGGGTTCTTACATGAGCCTTCTTATATATAAATATAGGGGAAGGATCCGGTGAAATTAGGTAGTTGTCAAAAACCGACCCAAACTGGTGACTCCGAGCTGTTTCGAAAAGGAACCGAACCGTTAACAACCCGTTATGTTATAATAGTAAACTGACCTGACCCGGTTTTTTAAAACCTGAAACTGAACCGATCCAAATGTATGAAAACTGTTAAGAAATCGTACCCGTTTTCCAGCGAACCGATGCAACTCGAAACCGATAACAAACGAACCGAGTACTGCCAAACCCGATAGTAACCCGACCTAGTGTAAACCGAAACTTTTAAAATCCGACAAAAAACCAATTAACTCGAACCGTTTATAACCCGTAACTGGTTATGACTGAACAATTTACAACCCGTAACTGGTTACGACTGAACCGTTTACAACCTGTAACCGGTTATGACCGAACTATTTACAATCTGTGACCGATTATGATCGATTAATTTATAACCCATAATCTATTATGACCAAGTCATTAGCCCTATATAGATTCCTTTTATGAGTAATGGCTTATTGGATAATATATGTTGTATCAAAAAAAATCAGAAATTAATAGCTAACTTTAGATTATATTGTATTTTTTTTTTTTTAAAAAAAAAAAAAAAGAAAAGAAAACCCTCAAATCATGATACTTTGGTAAACAGACGACAACAGGACTAATTCATAATTTATTAACTTGGTAAGAGTACAAACTTAATTGAGAGACTAACTAAAGTAAATTTTGAGACTAAGTACGTAAAGTGTAACTAAAGTATCTTGAGGTGAAACAAAACTAGTAACATATTAATAAAATCACCTATAAGAGTGTATCAACCATAGAATTTATATGAAGTCCTGAGACAATAATGTCCTGTTTATTACTTCTAGATGATGCAACATATTATTTTTCTACCGACACTCTCTTTCTAGCTATAGAATCAAATGCTCTCTGATTCACATCACCCAACATCCCAGCGAAAACCCTCCCCCTCTCAACCTCCCACTCTCTTGTACACAACTATACACGCTGCCACCCCTCTGTTTAGAGAGCATACGTGATACCGCACCACTTCTCCGGCAATTGGCTCCTTATTCACAATGACTAACCTGTTTTGAGCAACCCAATTTTATCAGTTAAAGCTATAAATATGTAATTAATTTATCACTTAAAGTTGTTACAAATTTAAACCTAAGAATTCATGTATACATCTAATACAATATGCACACCACCTGTTAAACATATTATGTCTCAAAGACCCAAAATTTACTTTCATTACCAAATTTTGTGGGGATTACATAAAATTGCATTATATTCAAGAATTCACTTCCAAGTTTTAAAGATTCAAGCAAAATAACACAAAGAAGAGACAAGAAGAAGGGTTTTCAAAGTTTAATTATTACCTGCATATTGGTGGGTAGCGGAGGCGTATTCCTTGTGAGTTCTTGTTGATCGCCTGATTGGGTGGTGAATTGGTGATGAACCGTGATATTAAAGTTGTAATTGAAGGAGAGTTGAAGAGGGATAACCGTGATTATAGGGTTTGAATGAAAAAAATTGAAGCAAAGTTGAAGTTTTCCGATTTAGATTAGGTTTCATTATTGGTGATTTTGGGAAGGTTTTTTTTTTTTTTTTTTTTTTTTTTTGACAGGTATTTTGGGAAGATGAATAAGGCCATTGGATTAAAGATGGGTTTAATCAGCAGTTGTGAGGGTGTTTTGATGAGGGGTATGGATTCTAATCCGTGTTTTTATCGAGTGGCCAATGAGAATTATAAATCAATAGTTAATACAATTAAAGAGATTATAACTAACTAACTATTACTAGTAGCACTGTCAAAACGGTTTGATAGTTTGGGTTCGGTTCGGTATTAAATCGGATCGGTTTGAAATCGGATTAAATGTCTCGCGGGTCAGTTTCAGTTCGGTTAAAATAGTTATTGGTTCAATTCGGTTTCGGTTTATTCTTGATCGGTTTTAATTCGGTTCGGGTTGTAAACGGTTCGGTGCATCCGGGTTACGGTTTGTTAACGGTTCGGTGTAAACGGTTTTTATACCGGTTCAAATAGTTTTGGGTTGGAAACGGTTTCGAGTTAGAAACGGTTCGGTTCTTTTTCGGTTTAGTTTTATATTGGTTCGGTTTGTTAACGGGTTTGCCTTTTATACGGTTAAACGTTATTCGGATCAGTTCCATTTCACGTTTACTAAATTATGGTTCGGAACGGTTTTTTATTACAAAAAGTCGATTTTTAATTGGGTCGTTTAGATTTGGGCAGTTTAACGATTTTGGTTTGAAATTTCATAGTACTTGCTAACCTTTTACTGGTTAACAATTTTTATATCAAGCCGAGACTTCATCACTTCATATTTAGGCATTAGGCATTATATTATATACAAATTCTCATCGATTTAAAAAATACATATCATATTATTTTCAAGTTTAGTCATATTGATCTTACTAGTTTATTACGAAGTAACGTAGATTATAAAAGTTTAGTGTATTAATGAATTATTATTGTTTTGATATCACAATATTAGTTGTTTCTTATTTAATCATCTAATTGATGTGTCATAATCATGAATTGATGAGTTATTGTGAGATCGAAATTATAGTTTGATTTATAGACAGTTCAGTTTGTATGTGGTTGTAGACACCCATTTGTGTCTCCCCAAAACCAAACCCAGTGATGAGTACCTTTCACGTCGAATCATAATCGAATGAAACGAAAGTGTGGAAGGACTAGTGTTGCGGAAAGTTTTTATTTCTCTTCTCTCTGCTTTTGAAAACTTTATTTTAAAAAAACATCCAATCCAGTTTGGTTGGTCCATGATATGGGTCCAATAATAGTGTAGTTGGATGGGGCTTGCAAAGACCTTTCCAACGATATATTATAAGCCCAATTCCTATGAATATTGGGGAAATTATGGCCAATTTACTAAACTGGGCCCGATTTGAGCTTTATGTACGGCCCAATGATCTAGGGGAGGGCCTGATATGATTTATCATTCCTAATGCAATTAGGAATGGTTTTGTTCTTATAGAATCTTCTAGAAGGTTCTTTTCATTCCTAATTCAATTAGCATTGATAAGTTGACTTTGTTGACTTTTCAGAGTTTTAATCAAAATCAAATAGCATTTTCAAAGAAATTATATTATTTTATCTTCCAGTACAGTAAACTTATCGGATTTTCGAAAATGCGTTAGAATCAAGACTGGCGTCCAACCCCAAGCCTTGGCGCCTGGAACCAGGCTTGGCGCCAGGCGCTAGCCACTGGTGCCTGGCGCCAGCTAGCCATGGTTGGCGCCAACCTTGTTTCCTAAGCGTCAGTCTCTGTTTTGTTAAATTATCTTTTTTGGCTGATTTTCTCTATAAATATCGCATCAAAAACTCCGTTTTCATTCATCATCTACGTCCATCATTCACCAATTTTCACCAATTCTATTCATTCTCAAGCTTTCATCAACAATCATTAATTCTTTAGCATTCTTTAATTCATTCAATTCTTTCTTACTTGTTTTCATACAAAATTCCGCATTCACAAGATCTAGAAACACCTATCCATATTCGAAGTTGCCTTCGCCCTAGACTTGAAAGGTTTTAATTTCTGAGGGTTTGGTCCCAAATCTGTCTTTCAATTATTTAATTTAATTATTTTGTTTATTATTTTCCTTGAAGTTACTAACGTGTGTATTTTGTTATTAGAAAGAGGTACGAATAATCAAAGTAAGTGCTTTAATTGATTTATTGATATTATGATGTAGAAATCATGTTTATATTGTTATTATGATATTCCTAGTATCATGTCTAGGTTAATTTTAATATTAAATATGATTGTTATGATGCTTCCTATGTTCTTCCTAATGTTTATTCATGTTAGTATCATGTTAGGGCTAAAGATTTGATTTTTATTGCTTAGTGACATGCTAGGGTTTGTTATTAATCTTGTTAGCATCGTACCTAGGATCTTGCTATTATTATTATGCTTTAATATTAACATGAATATGATCATTATTATTATTATTATAATTTATGATTATGAATATTATTATTATTATAATTATTATAATTCATGTTTATTCATGATATTTATTGATTATGTTGCTTGATACATTATTTATTCTTTATTGCTTGATCACCTTTTATGCATGTTTAAAGGGAATTTGTACTTGTAATCACGCTTAATAAGATAATTAATAATTTTGTTTAGGGTTAATTGTGATTATAATTCAAGTGATCGCCAATAATAGATTTGTTTGTGCATTAAATTCAACCAACATAGATTAAACAGGTTTAGGGTTAATCCTATTGATTGTTTGTTAATCAGAAAGCGCACATGAATACGAGCAGAATAAACTAGAGGCCTATTATTAGGGCAGGTTCAATCTCTTTTAGGTTGGATTTGTACCATCATCCCCGAACCCTTATTTGGTTCATGACCTCATGGAGTTGACGGTCTCTTGGATCGTTAAGGGGTGTGACCTTCATCCTATGAACGGTTTAAAAGTTCCTTAAAAACTTGTTGGCGACTCTTTTGCTTTATCTTCTTCCCTTTTGGACGCCACTGTACTTTAGTGTATGATCACAGTGGGGTTCAAGCTAGTGGGATTTTAAAGGCTTGAAATTATTCTCTACAGTTTTTGGCGACTCCGCTTGGGAGGATTTCTATTTTAATTCCTGAATTTGTTTCGGCAATGATCTAGAATGAGTGGATGAGACTCGAAAAGTTATAAGTATTTCAAGTGCGTAATTTTGATTAACATTATTGTCATATGCATAAAAAGGTTCTCATTGGAAAGACCATCCGTAATGAGTAAAAAATATAGGATTTTACACGTAGGAAATTTGAGAAATGTCTTTCACTACTAGGACTGAAATAACACCGCGCGAAACTGGAAGATTTTATCGAGCACAGAAATCTGTTGAGGCATGTGGGAAGTAGCGTCAGGGGCCTGAGCTTGGCGCCACACTTTTAGCCGTAGCGCCAAACGCCAGTATTGGCGCCAGGCGCTACAGTTAAAAGTTGGCGCCAGTCTCTGTTTGCTGGCGCCAATCTCCCCCAATACCGAGCCAGAAATATGCGTTCTAATTTCGACCGATTTTTCGTATTGTTTGCTCGATCCTACTTCCTGATTGAATTTTTTCTCACTTTTCTGAAACCCATATGTGTTCTACATATGGACATAACCCTCTAGGAATTCATGCTCCATCTACCCGATTGAACGCTCCGTGCAACAAAGGGTACATCCGAGATGTTGAATTCACCAAACCATGGAAGCGAGTTTTTTTTCTTTTTTAAAACTCGCGGTGTCCCATCCACTCGTGCCAACCCTTCACGGTTAGGTTTCCACGCGGTGCATCCGGACAATTAACCATGGACCCTCTATTGACTAAACCATATCCCGAACTTTAGAGAACTAGAGCCATGGTTAGGTTGCGAACTCATTGCATCATATTGTGCCTACTTGACTAATTGTGCATTATTTGTTGTGCATATATATTCTATGTTTCTCTTAACCGTTTGTTGATTTGTGTTGAGAATAAATAAATTAATGACTTAAAGAACTTTGCCTAATTAATTAATTAATTTGAGTCAATAAGTCTAATTTTTATTTCAATCGGAATTGACCTAGTACGACTTTAGGTATACCCCAGTTGACTAATAATACCGAAAACAGTCCCAGACGTCAGCTAAATTGTCTGGCGCCAACCACCACAGTGTGACGCTAGTCTTGTCGCTTGGCCGACAGTTCGGATTATTTGTCGAGTCATCACCTAAAGTCTAATTAATCAGTCTCCTGTTTAAGTCGGTTAATTTTGCTGACAATAATGCTTAATTGAATCAATGATCGAGTTTAGGCACTAAGTCCCATGGTCTTACACAAAAGTCTCAACATGTCACCTACACTCACTAGTCTTAGCACACACTTTGAGTACACATGACCATGGCCATGTCTTAGGTTCATGCATGAGTCGGTCTTTTTCGTCGTTTAAGTTGGGGGTACATTCTATTCCTAATTCTTCATATTTCTCCATCTAAATCTTCTTTTGCATTCTTCCATCTTTCTTCACTTCCTCCATCATTGCATGTTGAATAAAGTTTGATTCAAATAATTAACAATAAGTATCCCCAAATTCCTTTTCCACAGTACTTGGTCGAGGAGAGAAGGGCGATTAATCAAGGACAACACCTTTGTTCAACTCTTACTTTTTGATAAACCGATTTGTCAAAAGAGAAAGCCTAAGAATATAATGGCAACTCAAGAGGAAGTTAATGAACTTAGGAGTCAATTGAATAACGTGACTGAGACACTGAAGCTTCTCGCACTTAGGATCGATGATCCCGTGAAACAACAACAAATGGACCTCATGCAAGAGAGCCTAAGCAAGTTGTCCAGTGACTACAAGTTTCAAGAACTCACATCCCAAGTGGTCTCGGTGGATAAAGATCTTCTTCCGCAGAAGTTCAACGCCAACGACATCCCAAAATTCAGAGCAACTGACAACCCTTACTTTCATTTAAGAGCATTCGAAACAATAATGAGTATTAAGGGTATTGATAAGAAAGTTTTCCCCTCTCTTTTCTCACTATCTCTCAAAACCGTTTTCCAACAATGGTTCTTCTCCCTTGACAAGGAGAAAACCTCTACCTGGGAATCGATAGTAAACGCTTTCGTTGGTAGGTACAAGTGCAATATCCAAGTTGAAACCGACCATAGACAACTTGAGATGCTAAGACAAAAAGAGAATGAAGGTTTTACTTCTTTCTTTAATAAGTGGAGGGAAACTTCCGCCAAGATGATTGAGGTCCCCACTGAAAAAGAATCCGTGAGGATGTTTATCAAGAATCTTCAAGAAAAGTATTCAAAGCACTTAAAATATCAACACAACTTGAATACTTTCAAGGCCGTTTATGACATCGGAATTAAAATCGAAGACGACCTCAATAGTAACCACGGTGGCTGGAA